TGTCGTCAAAAAACAACTAGTACACCGATGGTTGCGTGCTTGAACTTTCCAGCCAGTTTGGCCCCTAAATTCTAACGTTGACAGCCCACAAAGTTCAGCCAACAACGCTTTTTCAAATCTTACTTTTAAACTGGGAATTGCCATTCCTTATTCTGGTACTCAATTATTAACCTTATAGTTGCTGTTTTCTCCTTAAATGTGGTACTAAAAACCTATAGTTGACAATAATAACACCTTATCCATGCAAGCCTTGTAATCCAGCCAGGCTCATAAAATAATCTCTAGACAGTTGCAAATGGTTTCCCACGCCTTTTCACCTTGGGGTCAATCACCTACCCCTAACATCCCTGGTCAACAGGAAGATTAAAATGGTCTTGCCCACTTCTTTCTATCTTCATTGCCCAACGACCTAAGATGAGGCCCTATAAAACCCCAAAAGGGTTTTTTGGATTGAAATTGCAATTGCAAAAATTAATAACTGAGACAGCGAGAGACTGACAAAACATTCCCACTTCCTTCTAACCTCCCCAAGCTGTTCCCCTTGTTCGATTCCTTGGGTTGCAGCCCGAACTAAACTTTGGAAGGAACTTAAGTATTTATACGACTTGAAAAAAGATATAACAGCCTTTCCAAAACAAATCCTTCTTGCCCTGGGGACTAGACTGATTTTAATAGAGACTAAAGAAATAGCCACAAAATTATAAATAGTTTTAGGAATCATATGTAGCTAGAGGCTCAAACCAAAATTCCCTGACCGCTCCAGAATTGGCTCCTGGGGTAAAATCACTAATTGAAAAGCCCTAAGCACCAGTGCTTTGAGACTATTTGCAGACCTGCACTTGATGAATCAGCTGGGTACCACCGCCCATTTGAAATAACTGGCTCCATCTGATCTGTGGCCCCCAATCTGGGAACGACTCAGCACAAAAAGAACGTTTCAACTCCCTATGATTTCACCTCTGACCCACCAATCAGCACTCCTTGGTGGCTTCCTCCTTGCCCACCAAGTGTCTTTAAAACTCTGATACCTGAATACTCAGGGAGACTGATATGAGTAATAATAAAACTCCAGTCTCCCACAAAATAAAATAAAATAAAAAAAATAAAATGCTTAAAGGGAAATCTAATTATTAAAGATTATGTCAAACATTAAAGACTCCTTTAAAAGGATGTAAATTTTAAAATTGCTAACTTAGAAACAAATTCACAATTGAACCTAAAATATAAGACAGGATTAAGCTTTTGAATTTTATTACCAGAAATCCACTCTATCCACTGCAAATCTCTGAAACACCCTCCAAGCTTCAAGCAAACTCTCTCTTCCTTGCCATTAAGGGATATTCTCTTGTATTATTCATGCCTATCCTCTTATGCTCTCAATTTTCTCTACCTGAAATGCATATGAAACAGAATATAGAATTTCTAGATGTATTCTTCATGTGTATTAACTTTTCTTCTATACTTTTAATCTATCATTTTCTTGTATTTTGGGAGAATTCCCCACTTCTCAGCATGTATTTTGTGTTCCCATAGCATACATTGACTTTTGCTTCACCTTATCAATCCACAGACATCCAAGATACAATTAATACATCCTTTATTAATGAGCTTCTCTAGAAACAAAATGATGAGGAGTGTACCACGACCAAGCCTCCCATTTCAACAATAAGCTGGAAGTTAGTGCAATCAGAGGTTGCAGCTTCCCAAGCAAAGGAGATTGGAGAATTACAGAAATCACTAAGGAGTTTGTATCACATCAATAGCCAAAGTTGATATTGCTTAATAATCAGTCCCCACCCTTCACTTGTCTGTGTATACAGCCGCAGAGGCTTTCCATCCACAGGATTTTGTGTGCTTTATAAAATGTCCTTCAGTCTTTCCTACATTAACACCTGCACTAGAAATCAAACACTGATTTATGTAAAGGTTTTCTCCACTTTGGTTATGACAAATGAAGCACAGGATACTCCAAGAAAGTTTGGCAAAAGCTCAGGAATTGAGATCCTAGGTTTTTGGAAGAATGGAGACAAAATACAAAGATAAAGTAAGGGAGTAAACCTCCATCCCCATCTCTTCTTTGATAAGGTTTTCCTTTCAGAGCTAAAGACTTTGGAAATATATAAACACTATAATGCCTGATAATGATAGAGAGGGATGGGCAGATGGCAGATGGTCAGGGGCTATTTTCCCCAGGGCGGTCAGAGGAGCACCTGTGGGAAAGGACCACCCTCAGGAGAGTGGTGCTTTCCCCCATCTGTCTTAACCTGTTGCGTTGCTATAAAGGAATACATGAGGCTGGGTAATTTATAAGAAAAGAGGTTTATTTGGCTCACTGTTCAGCAGGCTGTATAGGAAGCATGGCACCAGCATCAGCTTCTGGTGAGGAGTTCCAGCTGCTTCTACTCACAGTGGAAGGGGAAGGGGGGCTGGCATGTGCAGAGATCACATGGTGAGACAGGAAGCAAGAGAGGAAAGGGAGGTGCCCAGTCCTTTTCAACACCAGCTCTCAGGAAAACTCTCTGGGGAACTGATAGAGTGCAAACTAAGAGGACAGCACCATGCCATTCATGAGGGATCCACCCCCATGGCCTAAACGCCTCCCACTAGGCCTCACCTCCAACACTGATGACCAAATTTCAACATGAGACTTGAAGGAGACAAACAAATCATACGTAAGCCACAAAAGCACCCCGCCATTCTTTATACTCCTTCCCAGCTTTATTTTTCTTCATATAACTTGTTATTGCCTCAAATTATAAAACTTATTTGTTGACTTTGTTATTGACTGTCAATTACATCCCATGGGAATGTAAGCTTGATGAAGACTGGGACTTTGGCTTAAGTACTGCTATAGAGTACCACTGTATTCCCAGTTTATTGAACACTGCTTGGCACATGGTAACTGCTTAATAAATATTCACTGGATGATTGATTCCATTGGTACCCAGGGGTTAAGTGTAGCCTGAAACCAATTTTTCTCATCCCATAATCTAGAGCTGAAAACCTTTCATATTTTTGTTATAAAATATTTTTCACGGTTTCAGAACATTTACTGAAACATACTTTTTTATAAACCAAAACCTTTACAAATTGTACTTATTGATCTAAGGTTTCCTAGCACAAGTGAAGAAAATATGACTGTCTCATTTTGGCTCAAGTTCACAGTTTGCTAATTTTTCATGTCATTCCATAAAAATGTGAGTCATAAACTACAAATCCAATAATGTAGCTATAAAGTTGTCATGATAGTGTTCCAATGTATGCTCATTAGAGGCAGATAGCCCTAGAGTATGGACGTAGCCCTGAACCAAATATTCCTCCTTTGAGAACTCGCTGAGTTGATTTTACTTGTAATCTCTGTGTGCAGACTACAGGAGTGGAAATTTCTGCTCTCTCACAAAGACTGTAGACTATTTGCACTTATAAGTTTTCAAATTTCCAGGCTTAATCTGGTTCATGTTAATTATTCCTGGTGTTTCTGCTCAGGCCTAGATACCAGTGATGCCAGCTTCACATAACTGCTGCTGATCACTCGCTCACTCACGCCTTTGAAACCCAAGCTTGTCAAAATCATAGAATCTTGTGGGTCTAGCAAACAGCCCTGAGAGATAAGACATATATGGGACATAATGCCATGACCCCCAAGGACTGTGGCATGTGGGCGTTTTCATATGCCAGAAACATCCTAAGGTTCATGGCATTATTCAAGACAAACCTTTAGACACTCACATCTGCTCTTTTCAAACTTATGTGACAAAATGAATGTGTCCAGTTCTGGAGCCTGAAGAATCTGCTCACCTGACTCTTCAATGTCACTGGGACACGTATGAGACTAGGCAGCCTTCTGGACTTGCCAGCGCTTCTGGGAAGCTAGGGAGCCTTCAGAACTTAGTTGACCACACTTCAGCTCCAGCTGTGCACAAGGCTGCCTCCTTTCCTCCAGGTTTGGGTCATCCCTCAAGGATTCGTGCAATCCTCCTTCCTTTTCTCTCACAGCAAATACAGGTCTTTGTAACGAACATTGTACTAAATTATTAGGTTGACATTGAAGAAAAGACATTGCTTTTCAATGGCAATAACCACAATTACTTTTGCACCAACCTAACAGCTTTCCACATGCTTCCATTTCTAGATTCATAAAGTGTGACGACCAGAAGAGCTCCATGGTTCATTCAATTCAATTCCTTACTTTAGAGAAAAGTACATGGTGATTGCCAGAGATCTAAAGGCTGGTTAATGGTAGAGCCAGAATCAGAAACAAGATTTCTTGACTCTCCACTGGGGGGCTACTTAGGTCACAGACTAGGTAAGGGGTTCTGACTTTTTACCCAAGCATTCCATAAAAGGCTTTTCCTTGTTTTAACCTTTCACCTATTGTAACAGAGGGGATGGCGTGGTGGCCACGCTATGGTGCATGATGACTTTTTCCTCTTATGGACAACACCCCAGTCCTCCTTTCCCAGTCTCTCATGGCTTTGCAACCATGTGTCCTAGAGATCATGCCTTTTATCTTCTCTGAAAGATCACACACCCCAGGAAGACTTCTGGCCTACATTCCCTGTGGAGGACTTAGGTGCTGTAGTGATGTCTCACGAGAAAGAATTTCTGTGTCCTGCAGCTTCTTCTGCATGACATAAAGGAGGAGCATAGTAAATAACAAAAACAAAGATTTCAGGTGTCTGCACCAAAATACATACATTCATTTATTTCTCATTGCAGCAACAAGATAAACAAGTGTAATTCCATGGTCAAGGAGTTACAAATAGTAGTAAGCCCAGTAACCTTGAGCATATCTATAAGGCAAATAAAACAAATTTTTTTTCATAGTGTGGGCATCCAACTTTAGATAATCTGGAAAAAAGTCACTCTAGCCCCTGAATACCATGATATGCATGATGTGCAAAATGAAAGTATCACCCAAAACATTTTCAAAGCTAAAAATAAAATATTTAAATTCAAATACTTCAACCAAATTGGAAATACAAACAGTACACTGAGAGTCATCCTTAGCCAGCTGTTCTCCAACTAAAAGATCAAGAAACAAAACCAAGAACAAAGACAATGTAAAAAAAGAAAAGGTTTCTCTAGAAAAACTGGAAGCTCATCAAAGTCACATTTCTTCTTCTGATTCTTGTTCTCGTTCAGCATTTTTCAGAAGTCCAACTTCTGAGGAGCAGAGCCTCTTAAGTCTAGATTTAACCAACCTGAGGAGAAAGAAAAGCATCTCAAGTGAGACGGTGTTTAAAGTAGAAAGCCAGAGCAATACGCACCTATATACCACAAAGTCTAGATTATTTGGGCAACTGGGGAAGGCAACCCAAAAAGGAAAATTACTTTTATTTGGCTTTGGAGTTGCCTGAACATTTTTGTGGATTAAAGCAAGGTATAAGTAAACAGATACAATGTGGCTTTCCAATGTATGGCATCATTGTTTAATTAGGCATCAGAAGACAACTTTGATTATTCTTTTTCATTTTTTCTTTTTCTTTTCTTTTCTTTTCTTTTTTTTTTTAATGAGACAGAGTCTTGCTCTGTCATCCAGGCTGGAGGGCAGTGGCACAATCTTGGCTCACTGCAACCTCCGCCTCCTGGGTTCAAGCAATCCTCCTGCCTCAGCCTCCTCAGTAGCTGGAATTAGAGGCATGTACCACCACACCCAGCTAATTTTTTTTTTTTTTTTTTTGAGACAGATTTTTGTTGTGTCGCCCAGGCTGGAGGCTAGAGTGCAGTGGCGCGATCTCAGCTCACTGCAACCTCTCCCTCCCGGGTTCAAGCAATTTTCTGCCTCAGACTCCTGATTAGCTGGGATTACAGGCACCTACCACCACGGCCAGCTAATTTTTTTTTTGTATTTTTAATAGATATGGGGTTTCACCATCTTGACCAGGCTGATCTTGAACTCCTGACCTCGTGATCCACCTGCCTTGGGCTCCCAAAGTGCTGGGATTACAGGCATGAGCCACCACGCCCGGCCAATTTTTTTATATTTTTAGTAGACAAGAGGTTTCACCATGTTGGTCAGGCTGGTCTCAAACTCCTGAACTCAAGTGATCTGCCTGCCTCAGCCTCCCAAAGTGCTCAGATCATAGGCATGAGCCACCGTGCCCAGCCAACTTTGATAATTTCTAAAACAATTAAGAGAATCGCTGGGCTGTGGCAACCCGGATGAAACCAAGCTCAGTTGAGTTTCTCCATTAAACCCACATCTTACTGCGTGTTGCAAACAGGTGCTATATCATATAAAGGAAGTGCATGAAGCCCTCCTCTAGGGTTGGCAGCCCAAGTCAAGGCCCATGTCAAGTCTGGGCTAAATTTAGCCCCTACTTCCTACTACTGGCCCCTTCCAGGGGAATCTTTTGCACAGGGGACAAGCTGTTCAGCTGCACATGATGCCTCTGCCGTGATGAATTAAGAAGCTCAAAGAAGTACCCTCCATCATGGTGACTGTTTTCATAGTTTAAGAGAATCTGGGCTGGGTGTGGTGGCTCACGCCTATAATCCCAGCACTTTGGGAGGCAAGGCGGACAGATTGCCTGAGGCCAAGAGTTCGAGAACAGCCTGGCCAACATGGCAAAACTCCATCTCTACTAAAAATACAAAATTAGCTGGCCATGGTGGCACATGCTTGTAATCCCAGCTACTCAGGAGGTTGAGGCAGGAGAATCTCCTGAGTCTGGGTGGTGGAGGTGGCAGTGAGCCGAGATCGTGCCACTGCACTCCAGTCTAGGCGACAGAGAGAGACTCCATCTCAAAAAAAAAATTAAAACAAAACAAAACAAAACAAAGAGAATCCATAGGCCTGGGGGAAGCAGGGATTATAATTTTTGACACTGGAAGATGTGACACTGACTAGCAGCTGAAGCTCAGCAGGCTCTCCACTTCTCTGATGTGAGAAAGAGTATGTCATAAGAACTAGGCAAAGCTTTTCCTATGCATCATTGTTATAAAGGCATTGTGCTATGACCATATCAATAAAGCATAGTTAACTCCCAGAAATACATAGGAATATGCAAACAAATTTGATAAGCCAAATCATCAATATCATTCTTCACAAATGAAAAACTTCACCAGTCTACCTGCATCTTTACCCTTGTTTTTTGCCACAGTTTTTCTGATGAAGGTCTGGCCTGCCTGTATCAATATGTAATGGCTTTTCTTGTGCTCTGAGAGGGGTTTTTGAAATACTTCTGTGGAACTAACTTAAGCTATTGCTTAAGTTTATATCAAAATATATCAGAAAATTTAACCCTTGGTCTTATCTTTTCAAGAGCAATATGAGAGCAAAACTGAAAAGCATATAAAACATGATTTCAAAAAAAATGAAGCCTATATTTAAATAGCTCTACAACATAGATCTATTACCTATTAAACAGCAAACAAGGGTTTACTGAGACTCTACTATGCGTTTGGCAGTGTGCCAGGAGGTGTGGGCACTACGGAAAGGGTCTCATACTCCAGGAGACACAATCTAGCCAGTAGACAAGACTAACCCACATGAGCTAATGGTGAACATCACAAGAGAGATCCCAATTGTTAAAATGCATGGTGGAGATGATGGGCTGTAAAAACTCTTCAGGGGAGATGAGCAAGAGCTAGAGTCATCACAGAAGGTTTCACAGAAGAGACGCGCATTTAATGTGAACATGCCAGGTGGAGGGAACTGCGTGGTCAGAAAGATTAGGATAATATGTGTTGGGGGTAGAGGGGAAGGTTGGAAAGTAAAAAATGGAGTGTCCGGTTTCCAGAGTACTATAAGTGGATAAGAGGCCCATTAGGGGTCTGAAGGTTTTTGAAACAGGAAGAGACAGTAGTCTTCTTTTGGCTCTGGAGGGGAGCTGACATGAGGAAGAGCATTTCCTTGGATGCTGGCACTGATCTTGAAGGCTTTCCAGCCCCTAAGGAGATGAGGCCCAGCAGTCAGCCTAGAACAACAGGGGAGAAGCCACGTTTCACTCAATGGCAGAGCCAGCCTTGACAAGGAGCACATGTACATGCTTTGGAGGAACTGAATGGGACTAATAGAATGAGAAGGTAGAATTTCCTAGTACCCAAAGCACTTAGACCTCTAGAAGGAAGCAACTATAGATCAAAGTGGGCTGACCTGCAGCTGAACAGAGACAGCTGAGAGCTAGACAAAGGAATCATTTCTTCACTCAGTGCCTCAGCACGAGAGCTGCTTCAGCAATGATGCACAAAGAAGCACAGAGCAGGAGGGGTGACTTGGGGCCCATGTCTAAAGAGAAGAGTGGGAAGTTGGTTCTAACTGGGACCTCACTGGGCCTAGCAGTAGCTACTGCATTTTAGGAATCAGAGAACCTGCTAGATGTGTAGTGTCCAATACGGTAGCCACTATCCACATATATATGGATATTTAAATTAATAAAATTAATGTGGCACGAGCCACATTTTAAGTGCTCAATAGCTAGTGACTACCATATTAGACATTGTACATACAGAACATTTCAATCAGCACTGAAGTCTAAAGGATTAGGTGCTGGAGCCTTCATGCCTGGTCATTGAGATCAGTCAAACCAATTGTGGTTCGGCATTAACTACCTTAGAGAAAGGAACTGTGATCACCCCTTTCTATTCCTGTTCATTTTTCAAGCTGCAGCTTCACTGTCAATTGTAAAGAGGCCTCCCCTGAATTCCAAGAGTGCTTTGTTCTTCTACTACTTCTGTTTATTGCACTGTATTTTCATTGTGCATCTCCCTAATTTAGTCCTAATTATAAGACTAAAAATTTCTCATGGGTAGGGTCCATATCACATTCATTTTTTTTTTATACCAAAGAGGAATAAAGAAGAGGAGAAGGAGGAGAAGAATAACAAGAGAAAGAACAACAACACAATAATATTTATTGAACTCTTATTATGTCCTAAGCTTAAATATTCGATCTCATTTAGGTCTTATTATTTCCCCATTTTACAAACAATAAAACTAGTACTTAATGTGGTTAAGTAATTGGCCCAAAGTCATACAGTTGATAAATAGTGGAGCTAAAAATATGTGTTCTTATAACTCTGTTCTACTGCTCCTTGCCCACGTACGAAACATTATACTGGGGTTCTTATAAAAAATGTATTCAACTGAATCTGACTTTTAGAAATATTAGTCAATGTCAAATTAGGCAGACACCTACATTTAATGGAACAGACACAAGTTGGTCAAAAAAGGACTCGAAACTTAAGAAGTGCTATAATTGAAGTATCTACACATGGGTAAATGGAGGACTCACTATAGGCAGTGCAGGGTGAGGGAGACCATTCAGAAGAGAGAAGAGGAAATAGCATACATGGAGACATGGAGGCACAGAGGAGTGTGATGAAGGGTAATGCGAGCATCAGACGCACAGCCGAGGCACTCTTGAGTGACTCCAACTTCAAACCAGCATTTATTCTTTTTACTGAGAATTTTTGTGTTTGCAGATAATATTCTGCTCTGCTACCCTGTCTTACGGGATGATAAGGAATGAAATCCCCTTTTGAATTTTCAATTCAATACCACTGAGTCTTGATAATCACATACCAAGGAAGAGAACTTCCATGAACAGACATCGCTAACTTACCAGGTGATGAAAGCATAATTCATTCCAACGATGACAATGGTTATTGCATAATGCCAACAAAAGCATATGGTAAGAAACAAAATATTTTCATGATCCACCAGATCCCATGCAGGACCTCCACTGGGGGGATACAGGACAAATCCAATCTGTAATTTAGAACAAAAAGCACATATTAAAATAACCAACCACATTCCCAAAAATGGTACATTTCAAAATGCTTGCTTCCAAGGTAAATAACTAAGTTAACTCCAATTATCTAAGATGTAATCGATAAAACATCAGGTTTTGCTACCTGTTTTAGTAATACAGAGAGTCTCTAATATGTCATATTTTCATAAAAATTTTAAAAGGACATTTAATGATCAGTTTTCAAAATATAAACAGTCATCTCGCTAGGAATGTCTGAACTTGAAGAGAATGTTTTCGGTTTCTACGTGGTGCAGTTTCAGTCTGTTATTTCAAAATTGGGAGTACAAAAAGGTTTTAAAATAAATAAATGCCCACAGTTAACATTATATTTAATGCTAAAAGACTGAAATCTTTCCCCCTAATATCAGGAACGAGACATTGATGTCTGCTTTCACACTTCTATTCAATGTTGTACTGAAAATCTAGCTACAGCAATTAAGCTAAGATTTAGCTAGAGCAATTAAGCCATGAAGAAAAATAAAAGGCATCCACACTAGAAAGAAAGAGGCAAAAATATCTACATTCACAGATGACATGATTTTATATATAGAAATTCCTAAAGCATCCACAAAAAAACTATTAGGGCTAATAAATGAGTTCAGCATAATAGCAGGATACAAAATCAGTATACAAAACAGTTGTATTTCTACACAAAAGCAATGAACTCAAAAATAAAATTAAGAACAGTTCTGGCCAGGCGTGGTGGCTCACGCCTGTAATCCCAGCACTTTGGGAGGCCGAGGCGAGCGGATCACGAGGTCAGGAGATTGAGGCCATCCTGGCTAACACAGTGAAACCCCGTCTCCACTAAAAATCCAAAAAAAATTAGCCAGGCTTGGTGGCGGGCGCCTGTAGTCCCAGCTACTCAGGAGGCTGAGGCAGAGGAATGGCGTGAACCCGGGAGGCGGAGCTTGCAGTGAGCTGAGATAGAGCCACTGCACTCCAGCCTAGGTGACAGAGTGAGACTCCATCTAAAAAAGAAAGAAAGAAAACAGTTCCACCTACAATAGCATTAAAAAGAATAAAATACTTTAAGAATAAATTTGATCAAGGAGGTTTAAGACTTGTACACCAAAATCTGCATAACATTGTTGAAAGAAATCAAAGAAGACCCAAATAAATAGAAAGCTATCTCATATTCATAGACTGAAAGCTTAATATTTTTGAGATGGCAATACCACCCAAAGCAATCTACAGATTCAATGCAATTGCCATCAAAATTCCAATGTTCTTCTTTTTTTTTTTGCAAAAATGGGAAAAGCTGGTCCCATAATTCATATGGAATTGCAAGGGATCCAGAATAACCAAAACAACCTTAAAAAAGAAAGCTGGAGGACTTCAATACTACAGAACTACAGTAATCAAAACAACAGTGTGGTACTGGCATAGTGATAAACATTTAGATCAATGAAATAAAATTGAGAGTCCAGAAATAAACTCATATGCCTATGGTCAACTGGTTTTTGACAAGGGTGCCAAAGCCATTCAATGGGGAAAGAACAGTCTCTTCAACAAATGGTGCTGAGATAACTGGGTATTATATGCAAAAGAATGAATTTGGACCCTCATATATAAAATTAACTCATATATAAAATTAACTCAAAATGGGTTAAAGACCTAAATATGAGAGCTAAAACCACAAAATTCCTAGACGAAAACAGGGAGAAAGCTTTATCACTTGCAATTTGTTGATTTTTTAAAGCTATGACACCAAAAGCACCATCAACCAAAGAAAAAACAGAAAAATTGGACTTCATCAAAATTAACTTTTGTGTTTCAAAGGACACTATTAAGAAAATGAAAAGACGACTCAGAATGAGAGAAAATATTTGCAAATCATATATCTGATAAGAGATTATATCAAGAATATAAAAAGAATTCCTAAAACTCAACAAAAAAAATTTTAAAGGGCAAAGGACTTCAAGAAACATTTCCCCAAAGAAAATATACAAATGATCAATAAGCACATGAATAGATGATTGATATCATTGTTTATCAGGGGAATGCAAATCAAAACCACAATGAGATACCATTTTTTATTCATTAGGCTGGCAATAATAATAATAACAAATATTGGTGAGGATATGGAGAAATTGAAATCCTTATATATTGCTGATGGAATATAAAATGGATAATCCTGATTATCTGGATAATGAGGATAATAAGACATTAAAATGAGGATAATAATATATCCTCAAAAAGGGCCATTGCAAGGAAATGCCTAAGCACTGTAACTGACACATAGCCAGTATATGGCAGACATTTGTAGGATTATCCATGATATTATCTTGGTTTTGAATTTCATTTAGTTTTAGAAACCTGAAATACATTCATCCATTTATCTATCTATCTAATTTTTCACTGGGATAAAATTCTGCAGCTACTGTGGTAACAGTTTTGCACTTCCTCAGGAAGTTAAATACAGAATTCCATATGACCTGTCAATTCCACTTCTACCCAAAAGAATTGAAAATAGGTATCCAAACAAAACTTGTATACGAATGTTCATAGCAGAACTATTAATAATAGTCAAAAGATGAAAACAACCCAAATATTCAAAAACTGATGATGGATAAGCAAAATGTGGTATACTCATATAATGCACTATCAATCAACCATAAAAGGAATGAAGTATAGGCAACAACATGGATGAAACTTGAAAACAATTATACTAAGTAAAAAGAAGGCAGACACAAAAGTTCACATATATTATGATTCTGATTACATAAAATACCTAGACTATCTACTGTCTGATAGATGGTGGTACCGCCATGTGCTTGTCATTTTATCCTCACTCATGTACATAAATGTCACAATAATTTTTAGTCCTTGAAACAACCTCAAGAAGAAGACATCATCATCCTTGTATGTCATAGGAAAAGATTGGAACTCAAGGACTTCAATAACTTCCCCCAGTATTACGAAATGGCTGAATGACTACGGTAGGGATCCAAACCAGTAGTTTCTGGCTCCAAAAACTCCATGTTCCTTCTCCCACTCCATACTCTTTTCACCATATAGCCTTTCCATATGGGGCAATATGAAGGACAGTGGCCTGGATAACAAGATCAGTTTGAGTCATCTCTGCAGTTCTGATATGGTTTGAACAATCAGTACTGAGATGGAAGGTGGTTCCAATGAGGACATGGCACTATATTACCATTAAAACATAAATGACAGACCATTGACCCTTGAGCTACATCTCTAATTCCCAGACATGCTTTGTCTGGCCTGCATATTTAAAACAATAATTTGTGGCGGGGTGTGGTGGCTCACGCCGGTAATCCCAGCACTTTGGGAGGCTAAGGCAGGTGGATCACCTAAAGTCAAGAGTTTGAGACCAGCCTGGGCAACACAGTGAAACCCTATTTCTACTAAGAATACAAAAAATTAGCTAGGCCTGGTGGCACATGCCTATAATCCCAGCCCTTGGGAGACTGAGGCAGGAGAATCGCTTGAACCTGAGAGGCGGAGGCAGCAGTGAGCTGAGATCACGCCACTGCACTCCTAGCCCACAGCCTGGGCCACAGAGTGAGAATTCGTCTCAATAATAATAATAATAATAATTTGCTTTAGTTCCCAACACTTAAAAAATTAGGAAACATTACACAAAAGTTTGCATTCTCAGCATTTTTTGTAAAAATAGATCTGGCAACATTAGGCCTGTATTCCCAAATGGCAAACATGAGTGGAAGCATGTAGTCTCCATTGATTCGTCATTCAGTTTACCTTCCTGACCAAGTGGAGCGATCCAACCAAGGTTTTCTATTTTTGTCCTGGCCCAATGCATTTCATTTGTCAACCAATGTCAGAGTCATACATTTTCCCAAAATATCTTATTAGTTGAAATTAGCAAGGTACTTTACAATAATTTCCTCTTTCCCTTCTTTATATCCCGGGAGACAGAATGCATTTATTGTCTATTTTATAGATAGGAAAATTAAGTAATGCACGCCCCTGCCCCTCCATCCCCAAACAGCTGCAAAAACGTTTGCATCACTGCCTCTGTGCCTCACCCACCAAGGGCTGGGGCCTCTGCATTAGAACATGGATATATTCTAAAGGCAAGAGGTGTCAACATCTGTGGCAGAAGATACATCAGTCATTAAGTTAGAGGTATGAGCTCACAGTACTCAGAAACTGCAGGTGGAAAATGCCACCCTGCTGGTTGGACTGTTGCTTTGGACAGGTCAGTGTTTTGCAATACCCCTTTTATATACTGCTAGGAAAGCTCACTGTGGGAGCCAAAGTGACCAGCGCCCAGGTCCCTGAAGCCCCTGGAAGAAAGCAAGAATTTCTAGGTCCTCTATGCTCACTGTTTGGAATGACAAGAGAAAAAATCAAGTCACATGGTCAACTCCCAGTTCAAAGGCCCAGTTATCTAAACTGGGGTCTCATGCCTTCCTCTTATAACGAATTCATGGAAATTGAGAGAAAAATTCTGTGCAGAAAGGGGAACTTTAGAGAAGGTGAGTGTTAAGAGCTATGGACTAGCCCTCCAGATCCCACCCACAGTCCTGCCAACATTCCTCCAACGCCATCCACATGAGTTGCCCACCCCAGGTTGGGAAGTGACCTGCTCCAGCTCCCAGAGGTAAGGGTCAGCATTTGTAGTGGGTTAAATTGTGTCCTCCAATATGTTGAAGTCCTAACTCCCAGTATCTCTGAACGTGATTGTATTTGGAAACAGAGTCTTTGCAGATGTGATCTAGTTAAGGTGAAGTCATACTGGATTAGAGTTGGCTCTAAACCCAAAGACTGGCATCCTTATAAGAAGGCCATGTGAAGACATAGGAAAACAAAGAAATACAGGAAGAATATCTTGTGATAATAAAGGCAGAGAATGAAGTCTTGCTGCCACAAGCCAAGGAATGCCAAGGATGGCTGGCAGTTGGCTAGGAGATCAGCATGGGACTGATTCTCCCTCTGGACCCCAAGAGAAAACCAACTCTGCCAACACCTTGATTTCACATTTCTGTTCTCCAGAAGAGTAAAAGAATAAATTTCTCTTATAAGTCACCCAATTTCTAGGGATCTGTTATTACAGCTCTAGGAAACTAATACAGCGGTTGACTTCAAATAAGCAAAAATATTACTTGCCCTAAACCTTAAGCCTAGACACATTGGTGACTCACTTCCATCTTTCATCTTCTTCTGGAAGCTTCCTCTGCCCCCCTTCCGCTGGAATTAGCAGTCCTCTCCTCAGGGCAGCATGCATTGTCAAGTTATAACATATATTTTTCCCAATAACCCCATGAGATATTATTAATATTTCCATTAATATAGAAACGGCACAGAACGTATTATCTATGGTGATTCATGTAATTAGTGTGGTAAAGCTAGCATTCAAATTCAGTTTGGTCTAAACTGCAGGCCCAGGGACTTGTCACTACCTGCGATATTCATAATTGCTTTTTGGAGCTTCCAAAATAAAATCTCAAGTCACCTCCATTAGGCATCATTAATTCTACCAAACTTTTTGCTGTTTACATCAGGAGAAGAGAAACTTGGAGCCCCTCTCATCGCCAATCTCTTTAGCACCCTCAGAGCCTAATGCTGAAAGCTAAAGATTTGACTGATGCCACTGCACAGAGTTAACTGATGTGACTACAGTGAAAGCCATAGAAACATCCCATAGTCATTCGAGGCCAAACACAAATAAATTAGGAAAGCCGAAACCCCAAACTAAAGCTAGAAACTGCCACAACTCATTAAATCCTCCTTTAAATACAGAAACTTCACTTTTATTTGTCGTCTTGTTTCCTTATATAAAATTCCAAAAAAACCTCAACCTGCAAAAAAAAAGTTTTTCTTGCTACAACTTGTATGCCATTCCTGAATATCTGGTTTCGACTAGTTTAGACTAGTTTCAGCTTCATTGGTATCACATTTCAAGTGTAAATAATTATCTTCTCTAATAGGCAATAAGCCTGGGGCTGATTTCCTACAGTGAAGTCTGAATTTCCTGTTGTTATCTGATTATCCAATCATTTCTTTCAACACTAAAAGCCTAAGCAAATGTTTGATCTGCTGCCGCATCAGACCTCAAACCATTACTGCTTAGTTGGGCCTTTTTGTCATTTAAAAATGAACTTTTGTCCTTCATAAAGGCAAAACAAAGGCTGAGCTTTCGTTTGGGCTCAGGATCTGTGCAGTCATGGGAGGAATCCCTGGGGGGATCAATGGAGCTGGGAGATGCAGTGGAAGCAACTGTCCAAAATAAGAAGCAGCAGGAGCACCTTCCTCATTCCCTGATTGTCCCCGCACCTGGGCGGTGAGGATGACTAGAGGGAGCTTGGGAATGAGAAGGTGCAAAGCGAGCTTTTGAAATATTCTCCCACACAGAGACACAGGGAAAACATGATTCATGGAATAAAGGGGCTTGCAGGACTTTTTTTTTTTTCTTTTTTAAAGTGCATGATGTGGCTAGTTTATTGAGAAAACATTTTTGACTGTGATGTGGTTCAGGAAAGAAAGCGTTGCTAATAAGTTGGAAGGGAAATTCCCTCTCCATTTACGTATTACCCAATCATTTATATGTGTGTGATAAAAAAGTGGCCAGTCTGAGTATTTGTTTCCTTCAGTTCACATCTCCATACTTACGGTTCCAAGAGTCTAGGTGGGACACAGTTCATGCACGAGTATTAACATATTAACCATACATGAAGAAGTAGTGAGAAAAAAATACGGTAATATGGTGTAAAGCAAGTCATGACATAATATTGTTAGCTTAAGACAGCGTTTTGCTGTAAACATTCATATACCACACTTATCAACTGGAAGCATAATAAATTCACCTAAGTTTCTAGACATTTTTGTTTCAGAGGAGTACATTAGTGGGAGGGTCACTATGGCTAAACCTTCATTTCCTGCCAGTGTGTGTGTTTGCATTGGTATTAAATGTTCATTTTTCTTTAAGGCTGCAGACATTATTCAGGCTGACCACCAGGAAAAAAGGAAACAGTCTAGTCTAGACATATTGGTAGATGAAAAATTTTCTAAATAATCGTGGAGTTATGCCCAAAGGCATTAATCTCTTCCTTAGAAAAGCTTTTGGGGGAAATATGAAAACATTTATCTTCCAAAAGGGGCAACACTAAGCCAACCTATTCCCAGTTGAGGTATAACCCACAGCTTCCTCCTTCAGATCCTAGACAGTAGTCATTATTAACTGAACACTAATTAATTTCATTCATTCTGCTCTTATGTTTATAATTCTGTTCTCTTTGGGTTTCCCCTCTTGTCCTGCCTTTCTTTATTTGAATGTTTAGCCTTTTAACAAACTTGATCTAGTAAATATTTGAGGACTCCTAAACCAAACAAAGAGGATATACTTTCCTTTTGACTACCTGGATCATTTACAACCACTGACATTGGGCCATGTTCCAAAGGAAGTCTCAACACATTACAAAGAGAACACATTCCCTGACCATAAAACAACTACATTAGAAATAAATAATAAGAAAAAAAGAATATTTTTGGAATCTTAAAAGTGTACTCCTAAATAACTCATAAATTAAAGAGAGAAGCACATGGAAATAACATTCAAAATTACCCAACAGTGAAAACTACATCAACACATTGAAAAACTACAAACTAACACATCAAATTTTATGGAAGGCAGCTCTAGCAGTGTGCAGACCGATGTATTTGTTTAAATGCATTTATTTTAAACCAAGAAAGATTGAAAATAAATGAGATCAGCATCTAACTCAAAAAAAGACTAAAAAAAAAAGAGAGAGAGAAGCAGAAAACAGCCTTACAACAAAGCAAAAAATTAACATAAGAAGAAATGGACAAATCCAGACCTGTAATATAAAACTTCAACAGACTTCTATTAGAAAGTGAGAGATCAATCAGATGAAAAACCACTAGGAATATAGAATATATAAAAAACACAATCAAAGAGTCCCAAAAGCCTGGTTTCATCCTCCACCTTGAAAGGAGTCCTTTTACTTTCTCTTAGTTTCACTGGAGCCAAAAAAACCAACCGTCACCGTGTGCTCTGGGCCTGCGGGCTCAGCTTGACTCTTGCTCTGCATCCAGCGCACAAGTTTCTTTGGCCTCTTTTTGTTTGTTTTGCTTCATTGCAGTTAGTGTTTTCTACTTTATTGTTTAAATTTCTTTTTAACATTTTCTTTCCAATTTTCTATTTTTTTCTATTTCTATTTCTATTATTTTATTTATTTTATTTTATTTTATCTGTCATTGTTATGTGTCAGGAGCAGACAAGATACACAAGACACAGCAAGATATATAAAGTGTTTTATATAACATTTTACATAATTAAATTCACCAATTATCAGCTTCTTCACATTATAGAGTATTTGTTAGTATTTTCTATGAAGTTTTCCATTAAAATAACCATTGGATCTAGTCCCTCTTTACTGGCCTTTGCTCCAACAGCCTTTCCACTTTCTTACATGCTTAAATAGTACATCTTTTCTATCCCATTTGACGACGATGTTTCTCTCCCGCTCCCCTACCAATGCTTTTTATCACTCCTCATGTGCAATACAAATCCCTAAAATAACCTCATTATCCCAAATCTCTGCTCTCTGGTGACTAAAAATCTCTTCTAAGAAGTCTCCCCTGATTAAACCAAAATTCACCTTCCATCCTAGACTTTGTTTACAGATATGTATGCATGTTGGATTATGATTCATCGGTCTCTATAAAATGTATGTTCACTGATTGGAATTCATGCTTTCAACAACACATCAAGGTTAAAGAGTTAACAGCTTAAAATGGAAAAAGCCTGGGGCCTCGGGTCAGACGAATCCAAATTTAGATCCTAGCTCCATTATTGTATGAGACTTGGTCTCTCTGAGTCTTCCTATCTCTAAATTGGTGATGATAATGCCTGAATTCCAGGCTGTTGCAAGGAAAAAATAAAACAATGTATATATAAAAGTTTGGTACAGTAACCAACATATAGTTATTTCTCAATAAATAATAGTTTGCTCTCTTTTCTGCCTTCTATATATTTCTTAAGCTTATTACACTATAAGCTGCTTTAGTGTCAGGAACTGCTTCTAACTAAAAGCATCAGCTCAGAGTTCCTACATAATGGATGTCCAGGTATGTGATGAAGATGTGCACGCACCACTTCCCAGCTGCTCTGACAGTTCTCCCATCAAGGCTATTGGGACAGTCAAACATTACTTCTCAGAGGCCCATGATCTTACTGCAGGCTGTATGTTGGAGAGAAGTCTCTGGGGTCTAGAGCAAACTGCCTCATCAAATAAACAGAGAAGTTACAAGCAAAGGGTCCAGGTACATTAACTAGAGACCCCAACTCACCTGAAAGAACCAGGTCCCCTGAAGCAGAATGAGGCTTGACCGCAGTAGCTCCAGAAGTACATTGTTCCGAACAAGGAACTCTAGAAAGGCAACGAGGCCTGTCAGAAAGATGACCAAAACCAGCAGCTGGTGCACAAAGATGTCCAGTATTTCCCGGCCATGAGTGTGGTTGTAGAAGATAAAAGCTGATGGGGAAAAAACAGATTGTCTTCTTCAGTGGAACCAAGGGTCACCCACTGTTTCTCTCTCGCCCTCTCTCTGTAAACAGAATTTTACGCATACACACATTTGTCCAAAAGAGCAGGTGCCCACCGATTCCCACAGTACTGCATTTTTGGAGACATTGCCACTTCATTAGAATAGAATCTTTGAAATCTAACCCTCTTTTTGTTTTCCCTGACCTTTATTCTCTAACATATTGTGACATTTTCAACGAATGGATTCTCATTATCTCAGGGTGTTAACCATATTTTTGAATGAATATCTTTTCCTCTTTATCCAAACGAAAAGTATTAAGATGAAGCTGGAATCTCCGTAAGATGAAAATATTTCAAAGCATCTTCTAAGCAGGACAAAGAACAGTAAGCATGGCAAGTGCAATAATTCAGATGAGCACCCAGATGAATAAATCAAAGCATCGCCTTAAGCAATTCAGTCCACTGGAGGAGGCAAATACATATAAATCATATGGGTGGATTTTGACAGGTATAACAACAGGCTCTGGAAGCTCCCAAGAAGTAGTAAATAGCTGCATTTCTTCATCCTATGGACAGGTTTCAGCTTCATCTTTTTCATGAAGACAAAGAGAAAAGATGTTCGTTCAAAATATGGTAACACCCTGAGATAATGAGAAATGGGCTATTAGTTGTTGACATCCATCTTTTGTCCAGCCCTTGTTCCCAAGAGGTATGGGCAAAAGTTCTTATCTTCAGATGCCAGAGGTAAGGTGAGTAGGAAGTGACTGCCTCCTGATCAATTTGTGGTTATCTATTTCCATAATCAATCTATTTCTTACCTGTGTAATACATGAAAACAAATCATTAAATGCTTGTTTTCTTTTTTCTCCCTACAGTAACTGGGAGACCAGCTGAACAAAAAATATTGTTTTAATTAACTTTCCAAACTTAGGACCCCATATTTTTTATGTGACTGCATTTTTTGGACCCTACTTGTCATGAAATGGCAGAGTATTACTGTATCAATATGAAAAAGCCTATTAGTAGATAGTGAAAGCTGTTCTGCTGTGCGTGGCTGCCTCATTTCAGTGTATTCATGCTTTATTACTCTGGGATCCGTTTTCATTTGTTAAAAGTAAAAAAAAAAAAAAAAAAAAAAAAAATGATAATCTTCAGAACAACCCAGAGAGGAGTAACCTTCATAAGTGGTCCTTTGAGACAGATGTGAAATGTGAACATAGCAATTGAACAATTGTGTTTGCCCAGTTCTACTAAATGAGTCAGTACAGCACGTAGATCTTTGGCACTCTGCCTAGGACACCCAAATATTTCATTATGGCCCAAATATATGGCCCTATCAATCAAGGCTGCAACAAGATGCCAGAGGTATATTAATATGAAGGGCTACACAAATGCCCACTAATAGAGAAAGGTACATGAAAATACTCACTAATACTTACCCTCCACAAATAAGGCATTTGACAACACTAACTTGGTTAAGGAAACAGGAAGTGAACTGATGGTGAAACATAATATGTTTGCCACACCAAACAGCCCAAAGAAGAAATACATGGTGAAATGATGCCAGCCTAGGAGTTGGTTCCAGTGGCCCTGTTTATAGTCATATAACATCAGATTGGGCCCTCCAGGAACAAACTGCTCCCCAGCCATGCCTGCAAAGAAACGTATCACAGTTTTAGCAACTCTGCTTTACCTAGAATTCAAGAAGATGCAGGAGGATTAGCCCATTGCTTATTCCAATCTAATGTTCTCTTGTGACATTGATTCTTCTCTCTGAGGTGTTCCCTAACAGCTGAGTACTGGCACTTAAGGCTTGCTTTGGAGGTTCAGATGCTGGTTCAAATAAATAGTTTTAGTCAAAGATAGCCAATTGAATTAAACAGCTATTTCAGATCTTCAATGCCAATGATCTTAGTTCCACTGCCCATTCCAATCTAATGACTAAGATACATCCTGAATTATTTGGAGATTTGAGTTTGGGAGACAACTCCTATGGAGATTGATTATTTCCTTCTTAAATACTACATCTTTCAGTAGCTGCCATAAAGTAGGGGGTTGTGCTTGGTACCAGATAAAAATGCTAAAGAGTTCAGCTTTTCTCGAATTATGATAAAAGCCCAGACAGGACTGAGCACAGTGGCTCAGACCTGTAATCCCAACACTTCGGGAGGCCGAGGCGGGCAGATCACGGGAGGTCAGGAGTTCGCACCCAGCCTGGCCAACATGGTGAAACCCCATCTCTACTAAACATACAAAAATTAGCCGGGTGTGGTGGCAGGCGCTTGTAATCCTACCTACTTGAGAGCTGAGGCACAATTGCTTGAACCCAAGAGGCAGAGGTTGCAGTGAGCCAAGATAATGCCACTGCACTCCAGCCTGGCTGATAGACCAAGACTCCATATCAAAAAAAAAAGGAAAAAAGAAGCCCAGACAGATACAGCAGATGCAAACAGTTAAACTTCTTACAGATACTGCCTTATTTGTTAATCTATAGAATTTGGCAAGGAAATTTCCCTCTTTGGAAATGTTACTGTGTAATTTGATGCCATAGCAAAGACCTGTTGCCATGAATAAAGCATGAAGAAATCTAATGGGAAAATCAGAAAATTTATCTTTTATAACAGAGAGGCTAGAGTGGAACTCTCAAGAACACAGAACATTTTCATTGAATCTTGAGATGGAAGATTCAGTGGAAAGGCCTTAGAAGTCATCTGGCCTAATCTCTTTCTCCAACTTAGGAACCAAGAAAAAAAGATGTGTGCAGAAAGCTAAAGTCTTCTACAGCCTATCAGAAATGATGTATTACTGAAGCTTTTCCATAATAACTTGATTAATTTCACATCATTTGCAAAATGGTTTTTGATAGGGTTTGTTCTTTCAGAGATCAGAACAATTGATATAAAATTATTTCAGAAGCTCCAACCAATTCTTTAAAAGAAACTCACTTTGACTGGGTAGGCAAGTTAACTACTATGACTAATTCATTAAGAAATAGCTCTTTGTATAAGTGTAAATTATTACCTTCCCAATGAATTGTATCTGATAGAAATTACAATTAGAATATGTGTTGAGATATTTTTTAATAAAAATTCCTTTTAGCAATTTCATGATTTTATATTGTTTCATATTTTACATATGAAAACACCCACAAGGTAAAAACAGAAAACAGATGGTCCACTCACCAGTTAAAGCCATGCCAACTATTGTAATTCCCTCCAAAATTTCCAATCGACAGAATAATGTTTTGGAACCAAGGTAGCAGGTTCGCTTTTGCTTTTTGAAGATATACTTCAGAGTACTCATTGTACACCACCAAAGACCCATAATAAAAAAGAAGGTTCCAGGGAGGGCATGACCTCTGAAATTCCCCATGATCTACAAATATAAGAACACACAGAAAATAAAAGACATTTTATTGCCAGAATCTGGACAAAACATCACTTGTTTCCATAAAGTACACTGTCTTCTGATTATGGATACAGCACTGAGGATGATTCTGAGGATCCTACATTACTGTGCATAGTAGTAAATGCCACTACAGTACCAATAATATCAATAAAAACAAAATAAAAACTCACATTTGTTGAATACTTACCATGTACTCTGCACTGTGTCAAGTGTTTTATGTTCAGTCTTCAACCTAATTTATGCAACATACTCCTGAATGAAGCACTGTTATCCCTTTTTCTTTAGGGATACTCATTTAGAGAAGTTAGACTACTTGCCCAAATCTCACAAACATTAAGCAAAAGGTCCATTATTTTTAACACAGAAATCAAAAGAATTTCTTTGCATCGACAGTATATACTTCTCCATACAGTGGCCCTTCAAGCCTCTCTGAAGGAAAGTGATATGAAACTTTTATCTTTATGTTTAAAACTTGAAATGATGTGAAATTGCCTACACATTTTTTTAGGTTGATAATTTCAAAATATCAAGCATCAAGTGTATGGAAAAAAACAATTAGTGTTCATCAAATATCTGTGTGCTGCTCCCACTCTTTCCCAGCCTCTCCCTCCAGTTAGATTGGTCCCATGTTTTTAGTTCTGGCTACTACACCATAAGCTGAACTAGCACATGTCACTTTCCAAGCTGGGTCAGTTAGCAGTCTACACGACTCCTTTACCTCTCTCTTCTCCTGCCTGGGCAACCTTGGTGTAGCATACCTGCAACCCAGAAGGTGATCAACCAGCCTACTTCAGATTTTGTAAGAAACAATCCCTTATTGTGCTAAGGCAATGAAACTTTGAGATTTATTGTTAAAACACCTTAGCCCCACCTAGCCAGATATCAAGCCAAATCAAATTGCAAATTTTGTTTACATTATTGCCACATGGTGGAGTCGCTTCTGGTTAATAAACAGAAATACCCAGCCAGGCTAGGTGGCTCACACCTGTAATCCCAGCACTTTGGGAGGCTAAGGCGGGCAGATCACAAGGTCAGGAGATTGAGACCATCCTGGCTAAAACGGTGAAATCCCGCCTCTACAAAAAATACAAAAAATTAGCCAGGCATGGGGGCGGGCACCTGTAGTCCCAGCTACATAGGAGGCTGAGGCAGGAGAATGGCGTGAACCCAGGAGGCGGAGTTTGCAGTAAGCCGAGATCGCGCCACTGCACTCCAGCCTGGGCGATAGAGCAAGACTCCATCTCAAAAATAAATAGATAAATAAAATAAAAAATAAATAAAGACAGAAATACCCTCCATTTTTGGTCACTGCTATTAAAAAAAAAAAAACAGTCTGGAATTATGTGAGTTTTTAATTATGTGAGTAGCCCTTTGTTGACACATATCATAGCATCAACAGAATAATGAAAAGAGAGTCCAGAATCACCCTCGTGGATCTGACACTAGGCCAGGTCAAAGTAAACTCATGAAAGGAGATCTCAGGATTTCCCCTGGCCCAGCAGACTTTATCTCTAGGTGATAATGGGCTTCTCAGTTCAGGACAGACCCCTTTGGGTTACTTCCACCCCTCTGATACAACTGTGAAACTCAGGGGGAAACTTGGAAGCTAACCCAAACACTAAAAGTCTCTTATATCTCAGCGGCGACCCCAGGCAGTCATTTCAGGACACCCTGGAATCGTCCAAACCATCCAAGAGTCTCAGGCTCAATATAGCACATAGTGCTGTGTGCAGGTCCTTGTCCTAACTATGCCTGTAATGGCATGTTTGGGTCATGTTTCCTAACCTTTCTAAGCCTTGGTTCTTACTGAATAAAAGAAGGAGGCAGGCCTAGATGAAACCTGGAGTTCTTTCCTGCCCTAACAGTCTCTGATTTATTATCCTAACCACCACCTTTATCGCAGTGTTGCTGAGTTCTGTTTCGGTTTAGGCAGTCATATGGGATTGAGAAAACTTCTATATGGGATTGAAAAGCATATACAGACTGCAAATTTTTTGAACTTTTCTGAAAATGAGTTGTATTTGGTTTAAGAAGTCTTAAACATTTTATATTTCTTAGTACAGGAAGCCCACTTGCAGGGATTTATCTGGAAAATATAAATGGAAATACAGGCACTAGGCGAATGTTAAATAAATTACGCAGCCACTGAAAATAAGGTTTTCAAATAACTTAAATGATAGGGGATATATTTCGTTAAAAAATAGGATTAAAAATTAGGGGAAGGGGCTTTGATTTTGGATTATCTAAGTCCAAATACCAACTTTATAATTTGTTAGTTACATAACTTTGGGAAAGTTACTTAACCCCTCAGTGCTACAGTTTTCTCTTCTGTAAAATGGGACAAATAATAGTACCTACATCATAAATTTAAAATTAATTACTCCAAAGCAAATAACCCATGGTACTGTTAAATAAGATCATGCTATTGTCAACCTACCTCTAACTACTAGAGTGAAACAAAAGTAAAACCAAATGCACGATTTTACTTAGATACTAAGATGGATATAGAAAATCAAGAAACATTGATACAATTCATTTGGCAATCACTGTTGTACCGCCCAAGACATTTCTCTTGCTGTTGTCTTAGAGGGTTACTGGGATAATCTGTGGTTACTGAACTCCTTGACTGCAATTAGAGAATAAACTCCTTGAAAGCAGAGGCCATATATCCATTCTTCTTTCAATTCCCCACTGGACTATCCACTGTCTTACATACTATGAGGTTCTGAATTTACAAGGAGTTACTAAGCTCTTCTTATAACACAAGATTATATATTTGCAAAACATCTCTACTCTGATGTCTCAAAAGCCTCTCACACTCAACATACCCAACACTGAACTAATCATCTTATCAACCCATCTACTGCCAGAAAATAGTTTTAGTTACCCTAAAAGAATCCCTGGTTACCTAGTTTGGTTAACAACACTGCCAATTCACCCCTTTGCCCAAACCCAAATTATGAGCATCATCCTTAGAGTTTGGCTCTTTCCTTAAAAAACAATTGGTAATTGAGATTTATCACCTCTGCTGCCTAACATTGATCCCCTCTAGGGGAAGGTGAAGAGGCCCCTTCAATTTCACCTGCTTGGAGAAATCCTTCCTGATGGCCCAAATAGGGGAGGGTCTCTATGACACCCTTTCGAGGCACCCAGTCCTCACATTAGTGACTTCTTTGCATGATTAGTTATTGAAGGTCTGTCCTCCTCAATAGCCTCTATGACCATTACCATAGTATGAAGCCTGCGCAACTGACTATGGGGGCCCCTCAGAGTGTAGATGCCTGGGCCTTCTTTTTTTTTTTTTTTTTTTTTTAGGCTCCTAGTATATTAAAAAAGAAAGAAAATGCCAAAACAGAGTCACAAGAAATTTGGTTGCTTTTAAATATTTAGAATTACCTAGTAAATACTTTTAATATACAAGCAAACATATTGCCTATGTCATAGATATGATGAAATTTTAAAAAGCAGGCCTTCCCTGAATGTACAGCTCTAGGCCAAATAGCCCTCTTGACCCACCCCTATGACAAGCTAAGAGGCTCCTGCTGCCTGCAAAGCTGAGAGGATCAATATATCTCAGCACATCCATCAGGATGTAATAAGGAGGTAATGGGGAATAGTGGAGAGTTTGTGAAGAAGAATATGAGCTGATCAAAGAAGGGAAAGAAAGGAGTCCTCCTTCCTACTTCAGTTATACAACTCCTGTGTCTTCAGCCTTTCAATCTGAAATAATCTGATTGTTCCAATCTTTCTGTTTAAAGATCCAGACAAAATGAAGTCAAAGTATAAGGGTTGTTATATTTGCCTGGCTAAGGAACTCAACAGATGCAGTTACTCCTGGCAATAAAAACATAATTCATCTTACTTCACTTTCACTGTGAAGGAAAACATTGTCCATATCCTCAAACATCACTTCACTCTCATCTCCTAGAAACCATTATCTGTAAATCTCTTTTGTTCCCTGCTTTACTGTTGCCTTCAGGTACAATTTACTCCTTGTAAAAGCCAAGTAAAGTAGCACAGAGTTCGATCAGATTTAAACACAAAAGCAGACCTTCTCCTTTGAAGGAGAGCACGGGGCTTTCCTTGGCCACAAAAGAGAACATGCAAACAGCCAGCAGAAACCCCCAGGAAAATCCCAGGGCAGGAAACATGGAGGCCCTTCCTCCGGACCTTCCTACCTGATCCCACCACTTACAACCTCCTAAGAAATGCAGTTCGGCTGGGCGCGGTGGCTCACGCCTGTAATCCCAGCACTTTGGGAAGCCGAGGCGTACGGATCACGAGGTCAGGAGATCAAGACCATCCTGGCTAACACAGTGAAACCCCGTCTCTACTAAAAATACAAAAAAGTCTCCAGGCGTGGTGGCGAGCGCCTGTAGTCCCAGCTACTCGGGAGGCTGAGGCAGGAGCCGAGATCAGGCCACTGCACTCCAGCCTGGGGGACAGAGTGAGGCTCCATCTCAAGAAAGGAAATAAAAGAAAAGAAAAGAAAAGAGAAAAGCAGTTCACCCAGGCCTAAAAAAGCGGACTGCAAGATTTCATCATTGGCTTCTGTTAGGCCGGAATCTAGACCCAACATGGCGGTATCACGGGCATGGCAGGCCCTTTGTTAGGTCTTCCCGCCCTTCACTTCCTGCTAAGACTCTCAGCGGGCAGAAAAAGCTCGCGCCCGCCAAAGAACCCCCGCTCTGCACAAGCTCCTGGACACATCATTCCCCAGAAATCGAAACCTAACTCAGGAAAACCGAGACCTACAAACCCCACCTACCTCCCCCTAGAAAAGGCCCCCCATACCCGCCCCAAGCGCGACTTCCTGGGCCCTCCCACTAGAGGACCGTGAACCTCGCCTGCGAGCCCAACAAAGGCTCCCTTTGTTCTCATCTGCCTCCTGTCTTCTTGCTCAACTCCCCGTTTACATTACCGCTTCCAGTGTGATTCATCCTAAAAATTCTTCCTCCTCCCCCATC